AAGATCGGATTTTTTCAAAAAATCGGAACTGAGCATTAAGACCTGCAGTGTGAACGTAGCCTTAGATGGGCATATGAAATCGATTCCTATCGAGCATGTGATGACAATATAGATTGATATTTTCATTTTGCCTCGATATAACTGAATCATGAACCATTCACATCGATATACAGTGAACCATCGTTTTTCGCGGGGGACCATTACTATTATGTAGGAGTACACCTACACCTCTTATAACAATGTTATAAGGAATTTATTTTAGCAACGATCTCTTTTTCCAGTAAAATATTCTTCCAGTGCAAAGTGAATGGACACACAATAAGTTACGTGAGTCAGTGAATTTTGCTTTGATCCATAAATAAATGCGATCATTTATTTTACAAAATCACACAAAATCCCTACAGTACACTTAATTGTGAGCAATCAATTTCCTATAAAAGTTTAGAACAGACAATGAACAAGAGCTTCGAGCTTCGTTAATTGTCAATTAAACACTTAAATAGAACACAAACGTCAAGCTTAGATGTTGAATACCAGACATTTGAGGAAAATAAGTTTGGCAAGGTAGGATTTAAGAAAAACGGTGTTAGCTTTCCTAACTTTTAACTTAAATAATGTGGGTTAACCAGAGAGGCAAGGCGTTCTCTGCTCGGCGTTCAGCCAGATAGCGAAGTTCACAACACAGCCAGATTTACCTTTAAAGATGAGGTCAATAACTTGTCCAGGTATTTTGGGTTTCTGCTTAGAAAATCAGTTTTAGGACCATCCACAGATGGACCCTCAAGGCGTGTTGTTCAGACTCGCGTACATCCGCGTCACGCCGTAGGAAGAAGGGCGAAGCCAAAACTGGATCCCGATTTCAAAATAAAACTTCAGACAGGAAGATTTTTAACACGTTGGACAGACCACGCGGTGGTCGTATCCATCAGAGGTCTGAGGTCCAAGAGTTTCCTTGATTATTTCACTCGAGGTGACCCCTACAGTAGGCAAAATGCATGAAGTAGTTACCGTACAACTTGCACCCACATGGGGTGGGAGGGGGTGTCCTGAACTTATTTCTAGCAGCAGAACAGGTTTGAAGATGGTTATTTGATGTTATTTATTGTTTTTTAATCATCCTACAGGCTCTGACATGTTAGATAAATTTGAAAATGAGGTTTTGAGAAAATCCATAAGATTGCTCTGTACTACCGTACACCTGCAAAATGATGTAAAACCCTTATAACTTATGGACAATCCATACAAATTCACATGTATGTATAACCCGACATGCCACCATCGATTATATTTGAGAACTATAAAGAACGAATGAAATTTGCAAAGCTGTATTATGTATATTTGAATACCGTAACGTTATTGGCACACAGGTAGAGAGGAAGCACAGAGACTGTTTAGCCAATCAGAATGAAGAACACAACGCACTGTGAAAAGAAAAACTGCACAAAAAAATCTGTGAAGCAGCGGGGCCGTGAAAGGTGAACCTCGTTATAGCGACTGTATTGATATAGATCGATGTATCGTTACAGCCCTAAGTGGCACTGCCCCCGATGTCAATGCGATGTTGCAAAGGTATGTCAACCAGGACAGCACCACAACAACCTTCTGGCTACAGATCAACAACTGAGGCATGGAACATGATCCATAAGGATAAAATCCTGATTAATAATTTTCTGTTTAGTTCTTTTTAGCATTATGATGCTGTAACGAGTTTAAATACACAACCAGTCTTTTCAAGTGTTGCTGTGAAATTTAAAGTTGAATATTGGTTCTTACCAGCCAGATAAGCCACACTCTGAGTGTTCACCTCAAATTTGTCACATTTGAGATGTTTGCTGGTCAGGGTCAGCAGCGTGTGCAGGATTCGCACAGTCCTGGCTACAGTGGTAGGTGATGGGTGTCTGTAACCTGCAAGGACACATGGGAGATACTTCATTCAGCCACCTTCACAGTTTTGTGATTGTCCACTGACAATAAACCTTCTAATGATCTATTATAAAATACTAGTGAGATGTGCAGAAATAGGCAGATAGTGAAAATGTTTTCAAAAATTGCCTTTTGTCAAAATATAATAAATAAATGCCTTATCAATGTGTTGAAATATAATCACAAAAAAAATCTGGATGCACTTTTTGGAGCCGTAGCAACAACAACAACAAAAAAACAAAAACAAAACTGATTTTGAGGAAAAATGCCTTCAAATTCTGACATTTTCTCTTTGAGCTAGCAAAGTTTTTTTCTTTCCAGCTCAGAAATTCTCAATATTCAAATACAATTTGAGGTTTGATATTTATAATGACATCAAAAATTCCTAATTAAAAATTACATAAAATTAAGATTCAAGCAAAATATAAATATATTATCGTAACCAACAAGACAAAATTAGGTCATATTAACG